CGCCACTGGACTTAATAATTAAAATCTAGTTAGTGCTGAATAAGCGTCTTATTAATTCAAATAACTGTACCAAATTTGAACCAAATCGGTTTAAGGACCTATATGATATTTCATGAAAACCTATTAAAAAAAAAAACTCTAACACCCTGTATCTCAGAAACAAAGCGACTCCGGACATATGTTTATAGGAACTTCTTTTCTTAAAATGACCTAACGAATCATCCTCTGAAATTTCGTACCGAAGTTAGGAAACACCCTGTATATTGGATCTAAAGTCATTGAATGGTTTTTAAAATATAGTGGACCCCAAATTTAAAACCGTAGCTTTGAATGCGGTAAGGTATTTAAAAAATCGGATTAATTTGAATGATCCTTTTGAAAAATACTCTCTGGCCAATTTATTATTATTAGAATCGCTCAAAAATTTACTTGGGAATTTTTAAAAAAGTTATGGTAAAAAAATTAACTTAAATACTTAATACGACTTTTTAGGCTTTCAACCCATTGTTGCAATAAAACTTTGATTACAACATGTTTAGATATGTATGCAAGCCCAAGTAGTTGTTTATGTGAAAAATATTATAGTCTATAGTATTTTGGTTATTTTTTTAACACCACAAAGTTCAATTTATCGTACAAATTTGTTTTACCGTCCTAAAATTACTTTAGTGCTCATGTTACAGTCAATGTGTAAATTCCGTGTATGTAAACACTAACTAGCTAATTTATACAATAACTAATTTTGATAGGTATGTAAAAGTATCCACATTGACGCCACAAAGGTAGCAAAAGTGAACAGGTAACTCAAATGCATTTTTGTGAGAAGATATTGATCATGGTACAAGAAATCAAGGTATGTTCTTCAATAGGACGAATTTTGGTTCACTTTGCGCACCACCAAGTTACTTTCATCTTAGTTCATTCCTGCCTTTGAATTTAAACGATAGGTATATTAAATTTAAATGTTATTCTCTTACGAAATTCATTCAAATTTCTATAAAATTATTCGAATTGTCGAATAATTTGAAGATAACACGTAAAAACTATCTGAGTCACAATATTAACATTTTAAGAAAATATTATATATAATTATTATAGCTATTTGTGTTTTAAGAACGCAAAGTGATATATTGTCGCTCTGAGCGAGAAGTTTGCTATCTCGCGAGAGCGGCAATCTCACTTTGCGCTTGAATTACACACAGGATTTTTTTCTACAATTTCTGCAGTACTTAATTTCTTAGAGTTTGAGTTTCTGTTACAAAAATGAATCTTTATAACTATGATTTCAAGGATAATTTAATATATTTGGGGGTTGACATCCTATGTTTATGCACCTATTTTATCAACAAATCTAAATGTGTTTGTTTCCCTTTTTTTGTCTTAAATTTTTATCCAAATATCAAATAATTTTAAATTTGGTTTAAGGTTGACCCTTATTAGTACCTATAATTTTATGAAAAAAAGTTTTACATTTTTACATACAGAGGCAGCTTTTTAATTTAATAATAGACGTTTATAAAGCCATCTTTAAGAGAAATCATCAAATCAGCAAAGCTAGTGCACTAGCTTTGCTGATTTGATGATCCATGGATGTTAGATTTTGCTTAAACTTTGTTAAAATTGAACTGTCTTTGGTGATTTAATTTTCACGTGCGCCAGTTCCGGTCTGCAAAAAATAAAGTATTTTTATTAAAAAGTTATATTGTTATGTTTTACGTTTTTGGCTGTAGAATTTTTTTAAAGCTATTGTTTTTTGCAGAAATTTAATAGTATTGCCGGCAGAAATTTGCGCATTAATTTGAAAAAATAATTTAATAAAAATGCAAACAAGAATTTAAACAAAAAAGTGACAAAAATGTTTTACTTTTTGATGCTACATTTAAAAAATATTGCATAGATATGAATATCACAGATTTAAATGCAATATTTAATATATGATTTTCTTTAGTTGAAATTACAAAATTATAAGAAATCCAATTTTTTAATGATGAAAAATTGAATTTATTTTATTTATCACTTTACTATTAATATCACTTTACTATTAATATTAACTGATTTATACTTCATTGTAAATTTTTTTTCTTGCAATTTTAGCATTTTAAAACACGTTAAAATTAAAAAAAAGTTAGCTCTTGATCAAGTTATCAACTTGATTGTGAAAGGTGCTTTGCGGTGGCATTCTGATTCAGTACTTAAGTATTTTGACAAATTTCTCAAAATGGGCTTCTAGTATATTTTTATGAATTTTGAGAAAAAACGCTCTCTAATTGTTAAAATATAGGGGTTTTGGTTAAAAAATCGTGTATTTTATCAGAAATTGGACATTTTGAACATTTACTTTAAGGTTTATTTTTGGTTTTTGTTTTATGTTGTTCCGTGATAGTTTTTTTCTGGAAAACGAAGTTTGACATGAAAAAAACACAAGAGACATAAAATTTGTATTTTTAGTTGGTTAATCTGGAAAAAAATAAAAAACCACAAAAAAGTCAGTGGCGTACATTTTTTCTCAATAATAATTGGCTGTGGTGCCCCATGAGACGCCACTGGACTTAATAATTAAAATCTAGTTAGTGCTGAATAAGCGTCTTATTAATTCAAATAACTGTACCAAATTTGAACCAAATCGGTTTAAGGACCTATATGATATTTCATGAAAACCTATTAAAAAAAAAAACTCTAACACCCTGTATCTCAGAAACAAAGCGACTCCGGACATATGTTTATAGGAACTTCTTTTCTTAAAATGACCTAACGAATCATCCTCTGAAATTTCGTACCGAAGTTAGGAAACACCCTGTATATTGGATCTAAAGTCATTGAATGGTTTTTAAAATATAGTGGACCCCAAATTTAAAACCGTAGCTTTGAATGCGGTAAGGTATTTAAAAAATCGGATTAATTTGAATGATCCTTTTGAAAAATACTCTCTGGCCAATTTATTATTATTAGAATCGCTCAAAAATTTACTTGGGAATTTTTAAAAAAGTTATGGTAAAAAAATTAACTTAAATACTTAATACGACTTTTTAGGATTTCAACCCATTGTTGCAATAAAACTTTGATTACAACATGTTTAGATATGTATGCAAGCCCAAGTAGTTGTTTATGTGAAAAATATTATAGTCTATAGTATTTTGGTTATTTTTTTAACACCACAAAGTTCAATTTATCGTACAAATTTGTTTTACCGTCCTAAAATTACTTTAGTGCTAATGTTACAGTCAATGTGTAAATTTCGTGTATGTAAACACTAACTAGCTAATTTATACAATAACTAATTTTGATAGGTATGTAAAAGTATCCACATTGACGCCACAAAGGTAGCAAAAGTGAACAAGTAACTCAAATGCATTTTTGTGAGAAGATATTGATCATGGTACAAGAAATCAAGGTATGTTCTTCAATAGGACGAATTTTGGTTCACTTTGCGCACCACCAAGTTACTTTCATCTTAGTTCATTCCTGCCTTTGAATTTAAACGATAGGTATATTAAATTTAAATGTTATTCTCTTACGAAATTCATTCAAATTTCTATAAAATTATTCGAATTGTCGAATAATTTGAAGATCACACGTAAAAAACTATCTGAGTCACAATATTAACATTTTAAGAAAATATTATATATAATTATTATAGCTATTTGTGTTTTAAGAACGCTCTGAGCGAGAAGTTTGCTATCTCGCGAGAGCGGCAATCTCACTTTGCGCTCGAATTACACACAGGATTTTTTTCTACAATTTCTGCAGTACTGGATTTCTTAGAGTTTGAGTTTCTGTTACAGGCTGTCTTCAAAGATCATATTATGTTTCCTGGTTTTCCCCTATTTCTTGTACACTGTAAAAAGAACTATGATTTATATTGTTTTTTACAATTTTATTTTAATTTCTTATAAAGTACTTGATTTCTCTTTTGATAGATCAGCTGTTAAGTTTAAAGACTTTTTTATGGGAATGTAGTTTGTATGTTTTTTCGATTCCTTCTTATAGCAACTATCTTCAAAGTAAATGGAACAAATACAAGCTACAAAACAAACAAAAATATTAACCTATTTTTTTTTGTTTATATATGTCACAGATAATCTGTGTATACAAAAGGAAAGTACCTCTAAAAATAATACGGCTATTAAATTGTTTTTAAAATAAATCTACTTACTATCCTTAACATTATTTTTATCAAGCCCATACTACCCTGCTTAAAATACCCCATGAAACCTATATAAAATAATCTATCGGGCGCTACCGGATTCAATATGTCCATTTGTCCATGTTTTTTTCCGGATACGGCCCGATAGAAAATTTATAGGAAATTACCTATAGGCACACCATAACTTTTACATTTTTCCTACTGAGACTGATAGCAAATAACTCAATGAAGGATATATAGGGATATCCCTATAGAACAACCATAAAACATTTGACAAAATTTTATTAAAACCTATGCGGTCCTATGGGGGAAAAACTAATTTCTACATTTATGTGTATTTTCCCCATTGAAACCAATAGCAAATAAATCAAGGGCGGATATCCATAGAACAACCATAGAACAACCAAAAACAAATGTATTGGATTTCCAGGTTTTTTAGCATTGTTTTTACAGATTTTCACTTGGCAGGTAGACATTTTTTACACTTTTTTTAAATAGCTTAAAAAACAACTCACATCAAAATGTGGTGTAGTACCGCCCTCGGTGGTGTAGTAGTTAGCACTGCGGACTACAAGCCGAGAGGTCGTGGGTTCGAATCCCACCAGGGGTATGGCTGTTTATTTGTGTGTGTCAGTGTTTACTCCTGTAATTGGGCCTGGTGCCTGTTGGAAGCACATTAAAATAATAATAATAATAATAAATATTCAATATGGCGGCGACTGGGTGCTTCTACCTCTTTGCCAATCTGATGGAGTGGTGGAAACAGATGCCCAAGAACATACCCTGACATCGATTATTTTACAAATTTACTAAACTAATAACAGAACATAAAAAAAACTTTAATATCATTTTCCAGCGCAAGGCCAACAAATGAACCCAAACCGTCAAGTCCCCAACATGATGATGGTAAACTGCCCTCCGCAGAACTTCCGCACGCAAAACCCCCAGCAAATATTCAACCAAGCGCCATCCCCCTCGGTCCAATCGCCGGCCAGCTTGGGCCAACAACCTGTAGCCTCCCCCGCTCTGGCGCCCAGCCCGGGCTCGCAAATGATGATGGGCTCGCAGGGCCCGCCGAGGTCGGTGGGCATGGCGCCCAGTCCCGGGGCCTCTCTGAACACCCCCGGGCAGCCCAACCAGAGCCCGATGGGCGGCGTGGGGCAGGACGAACAGGCCTACAGGGAGAAAGTTAGACAGCTCAGCAAGTACATCGAACCGCTGAGAAAAATGATAGCCAAGATCGGGAACGATGGTAAGGGTAAGAGTACATTTTCTATTTTAATTTCGAAATTCTTTTTAGGCCCCCTATCAAAATTGACGTTTGTTCTTCATTGTTTTAGTTACTTTACCACAAAATTAACTAAAAAAGTTCACACGATTTTGGTGAACATTTCTGAATTGGTATCACTTATTCTTATTTGAATATTTAGGATAAAGTAGAAATAATTTATTTTTTTGTATCCTTTATGGAAAACAGCCATTTGATTGACTAGAATTCAATAAAGAAATGTTTTATTTTACTAATTAGCAACACTTTAATAGTTAGAAACACTTTAATACTTAGCAAAATTTGACTTGTTGCCAACACAACTATACTCACAAATCTGACATTTAAGGAAAAAAATTATTCACAATTTTCATATTCATAAATATTAAATATATTTTGGAATGAAATTCCATTTGTGCTTTTGGAAAATTCGTTTAATGAAACATCCATGATAGTTGAACTTGATGAGGATAAGTGCTGTCAAGAGTCATCCTTTGAAGCTTCCTGTTGATTGGAACCTCTTAAACATTTTCTTCGATGTTTTAATTTTATTTTGAATGCTTTCTTCTATATAACCCTCAGCAGAAGATGTTGAAGACCATCCCCTCAGTCTTTTCAAATCAGGGATACTCACAAATCTGACATTTAAGGAAAAAAATTATTCACAATTTTCATATTCATAAATATTAAATATATTTTGGAATGAAATTCCATTTGTGCTTTTGGAAAATTCGTTTAATGAAACATCCATGATAGTTGAACTTGATGAGGATAAGTGCTGTCAAGAGTCATCCTTTGAAGCTTCCTGTTGATTGGAACCTCTTAAACATTTTCTTCGATGTTTTAATTTTATTTTGAATGCTTTCTTCTATATAACCCTCAACAGAAGATGTTGAAGACCATCCCCTCAGTCTTTTCAAATCAGGGATACTCACAAATCTGACATTTAAGGAAAAAAATTATTCACAATTTTCATATTCATAAATATTAAATATATTTTGGAATGAAATTCCATTTGTGCTTCGTTTAATGAAACATCCATGATAGTTGAACTTGATGAGGATAAGTGCTGTCAAGAGTTATCCTTTGAAGCTTCCTGTTGATTGGAACCTCTAAACATTTTCTTCGATGTTTGAATTTTATTTTGAATGCTTTCTCCTATATAACCCTCAGCAGAAGATGGAAGACCATCCCCCAGTCTTTTCAAATCAGGGATACTTCCCCCATTATCAACCAAAATGGTAGCTGCACTCCTTCGCATACAATGCCCTGTGTAGCTATTGGAATCAGGAAGCTTCAAATATTCAGCAATTTTTCTCGTCAAACTATAAAATGTGTTGATCCCCACCGGTTGCACCATGCATTTACCATTCCGGTAAAACGAAAAATCTGGAATGATTCGTGTTTTGTGGCCTTAATTTACGATACTTCCGATACAACTCAATTCCCTTCGCTTCCGAAGTTATGGTAAAAACTCACTTGTTCGTTTTTGTATTACGTAGTGTTACGATAATAACGGATTCATTCTCTTCTTTATTAATAATTGTTAGTGTTCGTAATTCTTCCCCTCGCATTGCTCCATTTAAAGCAAAAATTAATGCCACTTTCATAAATAGATACGATTCATTCAAAGCGTCATTTAGAAACTTATAATTTGTTCAATTGACAACACTTTTGACTCTTTAGGTTCATATTCTTGATTCTGTTTTTTCAAAAAAGCAATTAATTTTGAAATGTCACTGCCTTCATATATTTGCAACGTACTTTTCAGCATCGAATATGTTGACCACAGTTACTGTGAAATTTGTGGAAAATTAGCATAAACTACATTTTTATAAAAAGCAGTAGGTCTTTAATTGATTTTTTTAACTTATGAGATATTTGACTGCATTTCTGTGTTGAATTCGGTTACAAAATGTCCATAGCTTTACCATAGCACAAGAAAACGCATTTTGCATTTTGTTGCAGTTACTGCCTTTCTCCATAGTAGGGCAGAGTAAGAATGCCTTCAGATTTTTGGACTAAAAATACAAGAAAAAATTAGAAAATTTATTTTTTAATAGCATTACCTTCTTACCTTTCCCATAAAAATGCTAGAATAACTGACACCTTCTACCCCTTGATTGTTTCTCCATTGACAGAATTGTTCAAAAGTTTTATCATATTTTTCTTTTGATGGAGGCAGATTTTGAGTCGCTTTTCTCGTGACTTCCAAAATGCCCTCATTTTCTTCAAACTCATCTTCCAACAAAATTCTGTTTTTATTTAATTTGTTGTCATGTTTGTTGCTTCAGTTTTAGATTATAAAAAAACAATTTTTGTTAAAATATTCTTAAGTTTCCACTTTTTCCATTAAGGATACAAAAAAATAGCATGTTCAACTCGTAAGAAAAGTTCGTTTTTCAGCTCGTGAAAATTGGTTTCACTCGCCAAACCAACCTTTTTCACTCACTTTTCTTTACTTGTAGAACAATTTATTATTAACAAATTCCCGTCATTTCAACTATATAACATTTTAATTGTCTCACGTTTCACAGATCTGGAAAAAATGAGCAAAATGAAAAAACTCCTGGAAATCCTCACAAACCCGAATCAGAGAATGCCTCTGGATACGCTGATAAAATGCGAAGTGGTTTTGGAGAAATTGGACTTTAAAAGAGGCGACAGCAGTGTACCGACGACCACGACAACGCATTTACCTTTTAAGGAACTTAATCCGTTGTTGGAGGCTGTTAGTAATAACTTGACTAGTTCGGTGATCAATCATACTTTGCATAGGACTTTTGGGCCTACATTGGATGCCCTATTTGGACCAGAAATTAGGTAAGACTTTTTTGGTTGGAGCATATATATAATTAAAAAATTATAAAAGACTGAGTTTAATCTCGAAAATCTAATTACCACGCAATTAGCTTCTGGGCATTAGCCTCAGTCTTTTATAATTTTTTATTTTTTTGATCCTAGCCTGGGGTATTATATTTGAATTACTTTTCTTTAAAAAAAACGTATTTTTATTTACTGGGGTTTTAAAGAGTAGCACAAAAACGAAAGACTTAGTTTTATAAACGCCATTTTAGTTAAATTGTTCGCACTGATACACCAGTAGCTCAACTAACTTTTGATTTCACAGCACTCAGATTTTTCCTCAGTTTTATTATTTTTAAAATAATTAAAAACATGAGAAATAATTTCTCGAGCTTGACTTTATTATGTTTATTTTTCGTTTCCGCCATGACTACTTTACTTGACAATATTGCTTCTTAGATTATTTTTGGTAATGCTTAATTTTGGTTATATAGATTAGGTATATTTATATAATTAAGGTACCTTTTGAAAAATTTATTGTACGTTTTTTTTTTATTTAGAAAAATACATCTTAATGTACATTAGATGCACAACTCTGTATTTGCAGGATAAGTGATGAAAAACCGCTCATAAGATCATTTTGGAAAAAAGCAATAATTGTATAGACGTGCTATTGCATCATTTTTTATTCAAAAAGTAAAAAAAAATCCTTTAAAATTAGGTATTTTAGTAAATAATTGTAATCAAAAGATTTAAAAACATAGTTTTGCATCTTCCTCGTTCAAAGACCAAGTTTTGCAAGTAAAAAGTGCAAATACCAAAAAATAACATAATTAGGTGATTGTTATGTCGTCACGTCACGTAATGCGTATACTAGCGACGTGATTGGTCAACAGCAAATACCGAGTTTTGCATCCGACAGGAAGAAACAAAACTGGGTATTTAATACCCAGTTTTGCATCTGCGTTAAGTTTTTAAATGTATTTTATTCTACAAATACTAACTTAGGTATACATCTGGTTTACTTAGGTATGCTGTAGGCAGTGCAGAAATGTACATCCTAAATATATTTATAGAATAAAATATATATCGTTTTGCATCTAATGTACTCAGATATACTGTGTATTATATTTACAGTCTTTTTACGAATAAAATATAGTAATATTTCAGTCTCATATAATATTATTTTTCAATCACTTTCCACAAAATGGTAGTTACTTTTTACGAAAATCTTTTTATATTTTGGGTTATATTGTCTTTGACTTTGTAAGCCTTGTTTACTTTTGATGATATTTCCTTTTTTAATTTATTTATATGTGCTGTCCATGGAAGTATCTTGTCAAATAGTATTTGATTTCTTCTACTTTTTCTAACGTTGTTCTGTTTATTGCGATATTGATGGTATGTTATTTTTTCTATATGTATTAGGTATCATTTATTTTCATTAATTGTCAATTTGTTTGTGTTTATCAATTTTTGTATTGTGTCTATGTCTTCTATTTTATTTTGTACAGATCAACTGTTGTCGTATTTATCTGTTGTTATAATTATAAGGTACCTTTTAGCGATACGATGAAATTTGGGTACACTTTCTAGGTACCGTAAACACGGGTGACTTTGCACCCCGTGGGTGACTGTAACCCATTTATGAAAAATCTTTTCGCGCTCGATAAAATTAACATTTATAATTTGTTGGTCTAAACCTGTCAATTGAGCGATTCTATTGAGTTTATATTACAGGAAAATCAGTGTTTTAAAGAAAGAAATGGGATTTATTACACTTTAAAATTGTATATATCGCATCAGTGCAAAACTCTTAGAAATACACGCGTTACAATTTCTATATTATGCGCAATCCATTGGAATGATGATCCTTGGTTAACTACAGGTCGATTTTTTATTTTTTTATTGGTAATCCCTTGCAATAGATATATGTCGCTGCTAACACGTGTCTAATAAAAATAAAATATAATATTGAATTCATTTTATACGGAAAATACACTGTGAGACAAAGTAACCCGCAACCAGGGGGTAACTTTGCACACCCAGTTTTTAAATTTTATTTTTGAAAGAGCAACTCAAGACTCAAATTTTGGTATACAAAATTTAATGTTTATGATTGTTAAAACCACAACAATTTTAAGCTTAAGTTTGAAAGTGAGCCAAAGCCACCCGTGTTTACGGTATACAATAAATTGAACAAATAGCCAAACAAAATTAAAAGTAAATATTAAATACGCGACACTGCTTTTGCCAAACACGTGTTAAACTGAACTTGAAAGGGGGGTACCATTACGAAATTACGTCATGAAGTTATAACGCGCGGACTTTAACTGTTGAGCAAAATGATGGTCTTTTAGGATTGAGTGTGTTCAAATTGCCCCTTTTCAGGCTTGTTCCTCCACTAAAAAAACTCAAAATAGAAGAACCCACCAACGAAATCCCCGACATCCTCCAAGGAGAAATCGCGAGACTGGACCAGAGATTCAAAGTTTCATTGGATCCGAACCAACAACCGGGCTCAAAATCGATCCAACTAACGTGCTGGTTGGACGACAAGCACCTGCCATGCGTACCACCGGTCTCCCTGGTGGTCCCCGAGGATTACCCTAAAACCGCGCCTACTTGCAACATGGCGACGCACGAATACAACGCCACCCCGTTTTTATGCGCGGTGCAGACTGCGCTTCTTGCGAGAATCAAGAAGCTTCCCAAATATTTTTCTGTTTCTCAGTTGTTGGATACTTGGGAGATGAGTGTAAGGCAAGCTTCATCGCCGAATGCTATTCCAATAACCACTACAGCTCTACTTATGGGAATGTAAACTATTTATGTTTTTTTTACATATAATAAACTTAAATTAAGCTAAATAATGTTTTTTTTATTTCCAAAACATTTCTTTTTTTACCTCATGCCACACATTTTAATACAAAGTGTTAAAAAAAATATAAAATTTTTCCATAATTATCGCATTTTCCAGCCAACACGTATTTGTCAGTGTTTTTATCAATATCAATCAAAATTTGTAAGAAATAAAAAAATTAGAGGATATAGCAGTTTTTTGAAGCTGAAGTTCTTTAAAAACATTCAGTACATCATTATAAGAAAGAAGTGTATAGTATATTGTTGACAATTATGATTTGTTGTACACGTTTTTTCCAGACTTTATACCTTATATGTATATATAATTTTATATACATATATTGGTTATTCCACGACAATACACCCGATTTGATTTGGCTAAAATTTTTATATTTTTCTACCCTAATATAAATGCTTCTCAGAATTCTTTTAAACTTTTTTGCCCAACCAAAAAAAAGGTAAAATTAAAAAAAATGACTTATTTTCAAACTATTTTTAAAATTGACTAAATGACACGTTTTTTAATTCTTTTATTTTGAATGTGCTTTTTAGAAAAAAATCAAAAAATTTGTTCCATACAATTTTTTTAATTTTTTTAGAAAATCCACCAGTTTTTCAAGTTTGCCATTTTTATTGTCGCATTTCCCAAAGTCTGACGACTTTTCTTTCTATTTTTTTCATTGAAAAACTTTTTATTTCTCCAATAAAATCAAGTTAAGTTTTGTTCTATGATATTTTACACTTAATTTAAAGTCTAACCTAATAATTATAAGGATTACACAGATGCTTCTCTTTTTGTCCAAAATTTTTCGAATTCAAATGAGCATAAAATATGTATTTATTGTAAGTAGCAGATAAAATATGAATAAATAAATACGATTAAAATCTGACGTATTTTGTTTTATTAATTGTCATAAAACAATATTACAATATTATAGTATATTAAATAATACATTAATAGTTATTTATGTATTAAGGGCATAATAAGGTTTTTATGGTCCGAGGCGCAATTTCGAGCCCGAGCGCGTTAGCGCGAGGGCTAGAAAAGCGTCGTAGGACCATAAAAACCAGTTATGCCAGCAATGCATACAAAACTTTATGCACGATTAATTTATTATTATTTTTAATATATTATTGTTTTTAAAGACGTTTATGTCAAAGAATTTTTGTTATAATTGTCATATTATAATGTCAACTGACATCAGTCAGTTTTAAAGTTTAAAGATAAATGAAATTGAGGAAGCAGCTGAAAAGGCGAAAAATTGCGGCCTGCTGCCGGTAAAATCAAAATCTTTATACGAAAAAACTTACTTAGAATATATCAAATGGTGTAACATTGTTGTTTTTAATTTTTGACGTTTCATTATAGCCCGCTGGGCCATAATAACGCCCGCGGGCTATAAAAAGACGTTTACGTCAAAGAATTTTTGTTATAATTGTCATATTATAATGTCATCGTGCATAAATAATATTATGTAAGTTTTATAAACGCCATTTTAGACACTAACGAGCTTGCGAGCGATTGCTTAATTAAATGTCTAGAAAACTTTATAAACGAGTTGCATACCAAACTTTTTTTCGACAAATATTATCTAAAAATCATTTAAATTAAATATTTGAATCAATTCTATAAAACATTGGAGTAACCAATTTAAAAATCTTTATTCTAAAATTTCAAATCGAAATTTATGCCTTGCAAATGGACCGTTTAATCCGATTTAGAAGCAGTTTTTAACAGTGAAAGTAAAGAAAATGCTTTATTGGCACTCCACGGCGGAGTCTCCACCCAAAACTTAACTTAAATCTAGTTTACTGCCGGTGAAATTAAAATGTCAGTACAATGTTCATATAAACTTTAAATATTGGGGTTCAGAAACTATTTAATACTTTTGTATTTGTGTATTAAGATAATACAATAATTTTCACATTTATAAATGTAATAAGTAATAATACTATAACATTAGTTTACAAAAAGGGTACTTTATTTTAACGATTGTTTGACATTTGACAACTGTCAACTAACTTAAAGCGCCATAAGGCCACAACTTGTCAATGTGTATTTGAAAGATCACTTATTGTCATTTTATGTTCTTCTACATTGACGAGCTGTGAATATATGGCGTTTTAGTCACAGGCTGAAATTAGAAAGAGTGGCTTTTAAGCTTTTTGGACACGGGCTGAAGTTAGCTTTATTATAAGTTGCAAAAAGTTATGGTAAATTAGGGTGACAGTTGAGAGATGTAAAATTTTTTTAATTTTGTTTTGTATTTGTATTTTTTTTTAGATTTATTTATTTTATTTAACAAAATTGTTGTTTTATTTCGTTTTAAATAAAAATTGAGATTTTACCCTGGTTTTACCCAGTGGCGTAACTAACAATGTTGGGCCCCCTGCAACTTTCGGCATTGGACACCAACACTTTACCTTAAAACGGCAACGGATTTTCATATTTGACACCTAAAAGATCATCCTCAATTTTTTTCATTACAATAAAAAATCATGCAGCGCACTTTTAAATTCATTTTTGGTGTTTTCATTTGGATTGACTCATTGGTCTTAATTTTTTAAACCTGATAAATCGGGGAAATTAATTTATAATTATGTATAATTTAAATAAATAATTGTTTTTTTTTTATTTATTAGGCAAAATCCTCGACCATAAAGACCTTAAATTTAGTTAAAATTTAAAAAATCTCGATAACGATCGATTGTTGCATTACCGACCATTGAAAACTATCTATCGATAGTGCTTGAACTCTAGACTGAAGAAATGGTTTCGCACAGTGGGGCTAATATTTGCATACAGCAGTTTCCGATTTTCAGCGGACTCAGATGAACAGGAAGTACTACGAGACCAGCAAGGATTGGGTTGGGTCATCGTACTACAGCCAAGCCCCATTCATGAATCCCAATTGAATGGGGGTATTACTAAATCCCTGGTTGAGGGGATTGTACTTAGTTTTGGATCAGTCCAATGTCCCCCAAAAACGAAATTGTTTTCCCTTTTTGTCCCGCAATCTACTAGCCTAAATCGGCCGGGCCCGGCGACAAAATTCCGGGAAGGGCCTTATCCACGATCCTAAGAGAGATTACCAGCCGGGGTAAACATTCGTATCCATCAAACACAGGTAATGCTGTGCAGTTGCAGAATACTTATGAGAACTGAAAGATGGTAAAAATAACTCGGGGAGATCAGTGTAAGGCGATGCCGATGGGGCCAGCCATACGTTCTTATACTCAAACTCATACGCTTATCGATATCTACTCTTTGGTTAAACTGTACCCTATTTTCTATTTATAATATCAAGTGGGTAATAAATAATTAATTTAAAAAATATTAATAGTATACTTTTTAGTATGTTCGTTTATAGTGGCAGTACCTATGCAACTTTCGCCTTAATTAATAAATGTGCGTGAAGTAGGAAACCATTGATTACTAAGATTGCAATAACAAGAAAGAACTATTTTAGATTCTTTTTTAAATTTTTATGCAAAATACATAAAAATCCATACTGCACTCGCTATGTAATTTGCATTGTTCATGCGATGTATTTGAACCTTTGGTAAATTATTTATTAAAAAAATAAGCATATTTAACGCGCTTACGCTAAATTATAATCGAGAAAAAATGCATGCCACTTTGCGAGATTTTATTTTATCGGGATAATGTGTTTAGATTAGAAAGAGAGAAAATAAGGGCAACTAATTTAAATAATTTCTAAAAATTAATGAACAACAATGGCAAAATTAAGTACACCTTTCAACAGGCCATTACTAGCAAATTTGCATATTAAAGTTGTCATATCTGTGTTGACATTATTATTTTAAAATGTTTTTAAATACATTTTTGTACATAGTGCTTTCATAAGGATGTAAAATAAAAATAAAAAATCTCTCTTGGTAAAATTAAAAACAAAAAAGCATTTTTAATTTATAGATAATTTAAATATTTAGATTTTTGTTCATGAACTGTTTTTTTTTTAATTTTTGTTTCTACACGTTAGATGAGCAACATTTTTGTAAAAACAGTGTAACTTAATTTTTGTAATGAAATTGCATTATTCATTATTTCATATTTTTGACGTTATTATTTTAATTAAACAAAACAATTATTGATACTTTAATAGTATATTAAAGAACTAATGTCATAAGACGTCATTTTGTTGCACGCGGACAATTTATAAAACGAGCGACGATGGAGCGAGTTTTGTAATGGACGAGTGCGACACAAGGTCTTATGACATGAGTTCTATAAAACAAATTAATTTTATACCTTATATTTCATTTAGTCGAATTTTACTTTAGATAGTTGGTATCACAGTAATTGATTTGACAGTTAATGTCAAAATCGATTCGCCCAGCCGTCCTTATTTTACTTATTTACAATAAGCGGCTGTTAATGTTAAAGAAGAAAAAAGAATTTTCTTTTGTGTTAAACAAAATTTATTGCCAGAAAAGTCTCGTAAGTACTAGAAAAATCATAAAAATATAACTAATATGCAAAATATTATGCTGTTTAAAGTATAGCCAACCTATAAAATCAAAATTTTGGGTGGTATAAAGTATCTCATTATAGCACCGAAATCGGTGTTATAATAAAGTCATTACGAACGCAAATGGATAAAATATTAAAATAACATCAAAATATGATTGTTAAGAAAATATTTTATCCTTTGATTTTTTTTATTAAAGGTACAAAAAGTGACAGTTGTATTTATTGGAATTCCCGTTAGAATTTATAACTTGGTAATCTCCGGCGTTAAAATCTAAAAATTTTCTGTGTAAATTAAAAATTTTTCCCTTAAAAATAGACCGACCATCGATATAGAAGCAGTTTTTCACAGTAAAAGAGAAGAGAATGTTTTATTGGCACTGTACGCAAAACTTTTAACGCTTTATCAGTTAAATCTAGTTAAAACTTAAAAGTAACTTTAGCCCGTGGCTAAAAACCTGTTGCTAACT